TCTATTGCACACACACACACACACACACACACACACACACACATATGTATGTATATATATACACTTATATACATGTGCAGCAGGGTTTTCTTTGTTTATATATATATATAAACAAAGAAAACCCTGCTGCACATGTATATAAGTGTATAAAAAATTCACTTATAAATAACCACGGATGACCTGATCTCTGTTTCAAATATAAAATTGCAATATATGTATAAAAGGTAGTCTTAAGAAGCTGCCAAACAAACAACAAAACAAACTAACCGCTAATACTGTACATCTGTACATGGCTTACATACATTGAATTTTTAAGATGATGCTCATTGCAAAACTTCAGTCAGAAGTGCAATATCACATCAATACCAAAAAGGCAGCTCAATTACAATAAGAATAAGTCATGGATATGGGTATTTATTCTTGCTCAAATGAAGTTAGAGCTCTAAATTACTCATCTCATTTTCCGGGTCATTTTGGCAACAGTTTAATATGACCAAAGTACTTGTAGCTAATTTTATAATGGTCTGGAACACTCGCTCCAGCATTTTTCTTTTACATTCATGCTAAAAATCTCTGAATTTCTGAATCCATCCACACCCATTCATACATTTGAAATGAAATCATTTTGAAATGAAATCATCACAGAAAGTTAGTGTAGTACTGCATTACACTCATGGTTCAGGCTGATGCTGCTTAAGAAAACATTTTTTAAAATGGAATAAATGTTTTGGAGTAAGGCCAGGTCTTTAATACAGTGCAGTCCGTGAGTCCATAAGTGCCTCAGTTGTTTTTCCTGTTTTGGTTGTGTACTCCAATACTTCAATACACTGAATATTGAACACTGATTATAAAATTAAAGTGCGCTTTTCTCTGAGTGCATGTACATGGGATGAACCATATTGGACAGAATCATATTGTCACAGTACACATTTTAGGTACTTTATCCATTCATATTCAGTGGAATCCAGGAGAAGGGACTGAATTTGACAGGGGCCAGTAGGTCACAACCGACTCACGCTCTCACACCGATGACCTTAAAAGATCTGGAGAGGTTCGTGGCAATGTCCAGATAGCTGTCTTTTTCAGCTACACTGTATTTGTCCAGATAGATTTCTTTTGTTTGTATGTGCCATTTAAAACTGTGCAGTGGCAAAGTGGAAAATAAAATCTCACCTGCCGTCTTGCCCTGAGTTCACCGTGTTTCCGAGTTGTGTGTACTTTTGCAACACCAGTGCTGAAACCTGGCATAAGCAGCACAGGATAATGACGTCACATGAACACTGAGTCCAAAACAAGGAGGAGGAAATCCTCGCAAAAGTTGTGCAAGCTGCAAACCAAGCTATCATCTAGAGCTTGTTAACCAACTCCTCTTCCTGGCCAGGATAACACTCCAGGATGATGCCAAGGAAAACCTGGGGCTGTTTGAGGGCACTGCCTTGGCAAGTGGATGGCTGAGGGAGGAGTAGGGACTACACATTAAGGCTTGTAATCTGCCACCAGAGTGCCAGCTGGATTATACGACTGTGAGGAGAGCCGTGCTCAATCAGGTCGAATTGTCACCAGAAGAACATTCTCTACACTTCTGATACATGCCATTAGAGAAGCCTGCTTATGTATGCTCAGCGACTCCATGACTCCTGCAAATGCTGGTTCCGACTGGATCCTTCCCAACCAGAGAAGTTCATCGAGTTTACAATTTTAAAATTTAGAGTGCTAATCTGCTTCACTACAACTACTGCTGGAAGTGATGTGCATGAGCCAGAACAGCTATGATATCACTGATAGGAGACAATAGCAAGGTCCCAGGTTCTATACTAGCATCATGTCTACTGTATTAAAGTGGTTTTTTTTTTAATGGTAGGCAAATTGTAATTGCATCTAACCGAGATTGTTTTATAAAAGTGTCAATGTGACATCTGATGAAATATGGGTCTTAACAAATTTAGATTTACTCTGATGAAAACTATATGTGCAATTGTAGGTTATTATATTATATATATATTTTTTTATATACTAATATTGCTCGTCGTTTATCAAGCTGGATAAGAACAGATTCATGCATAAATCGATGCATAAATATGAGCATTCGCACAAAATAATTGGTATTCATGACAATTCAAAAAAACTTTTGTAGACTATCCCTTCTTGTGTGTGTGTGTGTGTTTGTGTGTGTGTGTGTGTGTGTAAATTGATAATAAAAACACTACATTACATCACAGTAGTTGGCAGACACCCTTATCTAGAGCAACAATTATCTCATTTATACAGCTACGCAGCTGAGGGTTAAGCGCCACACAGTGGCAGTGCTTTGCTGCATTTGTATATACATATCACGCTGTCAAGTTCAAATCACATTTATTCAAATAAACATGAATTAAATATTTTTTAGACCTGTTGTTTCATACAGGCATAAATGGCATTAAGGCGATTTTACATAAAGACAGAAAGTCAACTTATTCCTAATCCATTTTAAGACAAATAAGGCTATGAGGATGTGCTGGTCTGTGCAGATGTAGCTGTGAGCTGAGGCGGTGAAAATGGCAGAGCTGATATTACTGGAAGTGTTAGCACACGATGCCCTTAGGAGACAACAGATATCTAGAGACCGGTATGCTTTCTTTAAAAAGCATTGTCATGGCTTGACCTCCCCCAGTACGTTGAAACTCGATAATCTTTCATACTTTTTATTTGACCCAGTTTATGGATCAAACGATTTTTTTTTGACTTCACTTATATTGCGCTGAACGGATGCCACCAAATATAGCTCTGAAATTTCTTACTGTATTTTAGCCGTTTCGGGTGCTGTGACTCTGCTGGAAATGCTGCTAAATAATATTTTTTTCTAGTGGATGTGAGTCAGCAGTATTTCAACTTCTGCCTCAGAGAAATATTTTTTTTTTTTGGCATTTTAGTAACCATTTGACACTTTCTGATCTGTGAACTTGGCTTATTTATGCAGTTTTATGGGCATCACCAAACGCAATTCAGCTGGTGTGCCTGTGCCAGGTAATTGATGGGAGATTGCCATTTATTAACATTTATGTGCCTATGAAGAAAATCAGTATTTATGGAACTTTTGTAATTTCAGCATAAATTTTGTTGTAACTGAAACATAAAATGCTTAATACAGGGTGTAATAAACAGGACTTGTAAGAATCCATGTAAACGAGGTTTATAATCAAGATAACCCGTATTGTTTTTCAGAGGATTAAATATGGATTATAAATTGGTTACATTTGCCGTGGCATCTGGTCATATTTTTCCATATTTGAGATTTTTCTGGTGATGCCGCTAAAGAATTCTTTTTCTCATAGAGCTGAGTCAGCAGGATTTTAACTTCTGCTTCCGCTTTATTTATCAAGACAATCCACAACGAAAAAATCTAAGTCAAATCCAGTATGCATTGAACAGACAAAAACAAAAGGCAAGGGTCACACTCGGTATGGCAAACACAGAGCCAAGGCTTCGAACTAACAAAAATAATCTCATCATTTCTCTCATAATCAGTGAGGCATCACAATGACTGAAAGTCATGTCTGAAGGATTTAGTTCAGGTAAAGTGCCACCAGGATGGTGTGTCCATTAAAACATAATAAAGCCCATCCTCATCCAGTCATCATTTATTTGACAGTAGCAGTGGTACAATCAAATCCCAGAGTTGCATGGTATAAAGTCATGCACACAGCAACTCCATGAAAAAGCTCTCAAAAAATGAGGAGGAAAGGAAGAACTGCTTTCTGCACAACAATTCCAAAAATGTCTGGGGGCATCATCTGGGTGTAGTGTAGGAGAACTGCACCACTCAGCTGTACATCTCCTCAATCAGGACTGACTATTTTAACACTAACAGGAATCCACATCTGAATGGCACACTATCATCATGTGACATTAAACTCACCTGTCATCGTGTCTACAGAGTTCAGGGTTTCTCTTGGGATCAGGTTTACAGAGCTTTAGGAGTGAAAGGAGTGTATACATAAGAATGTGTGTGTGTGTGTTTGTGTGGATGAGAAAGTGTATATTTGAAAGAGAGTGTCTATGTGTATGAGAAAGAGAGTTTGTGCGTATGAGAGAGAGAGAGAGAGAGAGAGAGAATGAACTTTAATGCTAGAATAATATTTAATGCATTTCATTAGCACTGTACTTGTACTCTGCATAATGACAATAAAGTTGAACCTAATCTAATGCTAGAACCGTCAGCGCCTGCAGAACCGCAACTTGCCTTCACGCCAAAGGCAAAATCTGTTAATTTGAAACATGTCAAAGCAGCTGCCTCTAACGCCTTAAAGTTTTTTGCAGAGCTTTTCAGAATGTTGTGTTGCTGTATATGAGTGTGTGACAAATCACGTGTGATAACATTCTCCAGTTGAATACATTTAATATATACATTTTAATTACATAGACAACAAAGGCAGAATGTACAATTTGTAAGGTAAAAATATCATAAGGAGCAGGGGCTACTGACATAAATGGTAAATGGTCTGCACTTATATAGCACTTTATACTGTGTCTCACTCACCTATTCACACACACACACACACTCACAGTAGCAGAGCTGCCATGCAAGGCGCTAACTTGCCATCAGGAGCAACTTGGGGTTCAGTGTCTTGCCACCTCAGCATGTGGAGTCATGTGGACTGGGAATCGAACCGCCAACCCTACAATTAGTGGACAACCCACTCTACCACCTGAGCCACAGCCGCCCCATCCTTCATAACCATATTAGAATTGTACATCCAAGAGTGCATCCATCCATACATCCATTTTCTGTGCTGCTTATCCTTACTGGCTCACGGGGAACCTGGAGCCTATCCTAGGAGGCACAAGGTGGGGGACACTCTGGACGGGGTGCCAATCCATCGCACGGCAGAAACAGACACACACATTCACACACTATGGACACTTTTTTGGACATGCCAGTCAGCCTACAAAGCATGTCTTAGGACTGGGGGAGGAAACCGGAGTACCTGGGGGAAACCCCCGAAGACTCCGAATAAACAGGGCCATGGCGGGAATTGAAACCTCAACCCTGGGGTGTGAGGCAAGCTCACTAACCACTAAGTCACCGTGCCCCCTATACCAAAAATTCATGATTCAGAAAAAAGATTCAGATCTCCGACTATCCAAACATACCCCTCGCTCTCCGCAATTTTTACTATTCTGAGCCAATTATCCAATCACATGATTTGTGGAGACAAAATAACCAGATTTTTTGATACACATTTAGGAATTTATTCTGTAAATGTGTTTCTATTGTAGTTTACGTGCATGCCTTCTTATCGAATAAAAAAAATTATCCTCCTCAATTGACTGCATAAGTTTGGTATGCGTATTTTGGAGATTTTATTCGCACCTGGTGTTTCCATCCAGTGTTTTGTTCTTTTTAATAGATATAACGATAATGAGTCTTTATTGGTCACGTATACAGTAGAGCACAGTGAAATTCTTTTCTTCGCTTACCCCAACATGACAGGAAGTTGGGGTCGGAGCGCAGGGTCAGCCATGATACGGTGCACCTGGAGCAGAGAGGGTTAAGGGCCTTGCTGAAGGGCCCATCAGTGGTAGCTTAGCAGTGCTAGGGCTTGAACCCCTGACCTTCTCATTAGTAACGCACACCAATAATTAACAAAGGTTATATTATTATAAATATATCAACTGTTTCTCTGAGCTAAGGTCGGACTCCACCAGAGACAGATTGTCATGAAGCTTTTATTGTATGTTGTCTTTTGCTGCACTAAAAGTGGACCAGCATGCCCTATCTCCTCCATTTTCTATTACTTCATTCAATAATGAAAGGCATGTGACTCCCCACATGCTGCTTTTATCTTTCTACCCCCTTTTCATCCTCACAGAATGTTCATTTAGTCTGACAAGGACTACATGCTATACATAAGAGAAAGGGAGCTGGGGGGCTTTATGACAAATGCTGTAAGTAATAAATCAATGGATGTTTGCAGTTCGATGGTACAATCTGTGTGAATGTGTGTGTGTGTGTGTGTGTGTGTGTGTGTATATATATATATATACTATTAGATTGAACTTGACAAAGTATAAGGCTTTGAAGTATGCGTGTCTGTGTCCATGAGATTTATATAGATGACAAATAGGAAATGAGAGTGATTGCAGAAAAATAAAATACAGGGGAGGGTGCCCTCATGGCGGTGAATTGTCATTTTTTATAAGATTTATAAGAAAGAACCCCCGGGGGAACGGTCTGGGTGTTCCCTGTAGAAATCTCATATCAGACGGGTGGGGGGTCCAAAATGTCTTTAGCTGGGACCCAGGATCTCTCCTCTGGTCCATACCCCTCTGAGATTATGTGGCGTAGCATGGTGTTCCTTATCCTTGGAATCAAGAAGCTCTTTGACACTGTAGACTTGTGCAACAACGCATGATGATTCTCACTTGTGTTGTATAAACCCAAGTTTACTTATGTGTGTCTTTTTCTGCATTCAGGAACCCGAAACAAGCCAGAGAGAGAGCTGAGCAGCACACAGCCATGTGTGCATGTGCAGAGAGTGACATCAGCACTGAAGATCATAAGAACTCAATTAAAAATAAAAGCTGTTTGAGTGTCCTGCATCACTTAATAATCGCAAAGTTGGGGAAGGAGAGTGCAACATAAGGCTGAACTCACTGACCATCAATTACTTTCACTTGGTAAAAAATGTGCCTGAGTGTTTCACTGAGTGTTTGATCCAGAGGAAAATCCTTGAGGGGCGTTCCCCGAAGGCCGAGGGCGAGGGCAGCAGAGCTCTCCTTATCCTGTGACTTAGTGACATAGAGCTGATGTCGATGGCCTAGCCAATGATGTGCACATCCTACACCGTACCTAGCTATTGCAGGACCCCCTGACACATATTTTCTTCACTAATGTCTGAAACCCAGGCCAGTTGTACCCAGAATTAGGATAAAAAAATACCTCCACCCTATGGCTTTTGCCCCCAGAAATGAATAATGTCTGGCACCAGTGGATATTCATGAACCTCACCATCACCACTCGTTCATTGCAATCCAATGCCCCGCATTGTATCATGCCATGATGGAAGGTGGTCTGGTTACACCCCAAGTCCACCCAGTCCTGATGTGTACTCCCTGGCACATAGTACGTTCCTGCTTGATCGTGGTGGCTTGCGGTGTGTCAGGGACCTGAATCAATATTCCTGCTTTCCCGAGGGAGCAATGATCATAGAAATGCCTGGCTTTCCCACCCGGCAGCAATCCTGCCCAAGCTTTGCCCCGGTCCTGGAGGGTGCGGAAGGTCTACCTGTGTGGAGAGAGAGGGAGTTAGGGCAGACATCAGAGGTGAAGGAGAAGGAGAGGAGGGAGGCAGCAGCCATCTTCAGCAGTAGTCTCGGAGGTGGTTTTTCCGATTTTAAAATGTACAGTTTCGCTGGCCCACTATCGCCTTACATTCCTGTTCTTGGCTGACAGAAGTGGAACCCGCTATTGCTATTGTAGCCCATTTGCCTCAAGGGTTAATGTGTTGTGTTTTCTGAAATACTTTTCTGCTCCACAGTTGTAAAGAGTAGTTATTTGAGTTACCATAGTCTTCCTGTCAGCTCGAACCAGTCTGGCCAGTCTCCTCTCTCTCACCAACAAGTCATTACCACCCACAGATCTGCTACTCACTTTACTTTTCTTCCATTTCTATTCCTCTCTCACCAACAAAGCATTTTCACTTGCTGCTCACTAGGTGTTTTGGGGTTTGTTTGTTTTGTTTTTTTATATCATTCTGAGTAAACTTTCAGGAGATCAGCACTATCTGAAATAATTAACCCAGCCCATCAGGCAGTAAAAACGATGCCACGGTCAAAATGAGATCATATTCTTTCCCTGTGCTGATGTTTAATGGGAAAACTAATTGAAGCTCTTGACCTGTATTTGCATGATTCTATGCATTGCTGCCCCGTGTTTGGCTTTTATTGGATAATTGCATGAATGTGCAGGTATACAAGTGTTCGTAATAAAGTGGCTGAGTGTTTATCCACACCTCTGTTCCATTCTTGAAAAGTAAAGCATTTATTGTCTCTTAAATAGTTGTTAATAGTTGTTAAATTGTTAATGATCATTTCCCCCACTTAAAATCGGTGTTCCTAATAACATGGAATGCCATCTAAATCATGAAATCTCGATGCACAGTTGTTAAAACTGATCGCGAATTACTCAATGATAAGGCACAAAACAAACACACAACTGCCCACATACCCTGAACAGGGAACACATGCTTGTGGCTAAACAGGTTTCTCAGGAAGGGCAAGACATGACAGGCCCAGGTTTAGTAGTAACTTAATCAGATAATGTTTACAGCACACACTTATGTAACACATATAATGTGTCTGCATGAATGCCTGCCTGTCTGACATCTCAGACTGGATAAGGGAACACGATCTTAAGCTAAACCTGGCAAAAACTGAGCTTCTCGTCATCTCTGCCTGCCCCTCAACCAACCACAGCCTCACTGTACAGCTCGGCTCGACCACACTCAAACCAACCAGGACAGCGAGGAACCTGGGGTGACTTTTGATGACAGCTTAACCTTCACAGACCACATATCAACAACTTCACGGTCAAGCTACACAGCAACTAGTCCAGACGCTTGTTATCTCAAAACTGGACTACTCTCGGGCCTCCCAGCCAGCTCCATCAAGCCCCTTCAGATGATTTAGAATGCTGCAGCGTGCCTCGGCTTCAACCAGCCCAAGAGAACCCATGTCACACCCCTCCATCTCCCTCCACTGGCTTCCTGTAGCCGCCCGCATCAAATTCAAGGCCTTAATGCTCATGTACAAGACCTTGTCTGGAACAGCAGCGCCCTACCTCAGCACTCTCCTGAAGACTTATGTTTCCTCACGCAATCTGCAATTGGTTAATGACCGACGCTTAGTAGTACATACTCAGCGTAGCTCCAGGTCCCTTTCCAGAACCTTCACACTAACTGTTCCTCAGTGGTGGAATGAACTTCCAACCTCAATCCAGACCGCAGAATCTCTCACCATCTTCAAAAAAGCCACCTCTTCCGTAAACACCTAACTAACCCTTAAAATGCCAATCCCACATTATCCTAAAAATAAATAAATAAAAACACTTACTCTGACTCTTACACCTCTACTCTGTGCACTTTGCTTTTCTAGAACTCCATTAAAAGTTCTTGTATAGTAGCACTACTTGGATTATTCTCCGCTTGATATATCGCTTTGCTCATATTTCCTCATTTGTAAGTCGCTTTTGATAAAAGTGATTTTGACACCTTTGACTGAATAAGATTTCTGAAAGGTATTGTGTGGAAAGTAAAAAATCAAGAGTAATTCTTTGGATGTCCTTGCTACACAACAATCACATAAAAGATAACATACGAAATGTATGGTTAATGCTCATTACTGGACTGAGTAGCTTTCTGCCTTAGTGGTAATAGTGTTTACGCCATGTTCTGCTGCAGATAATCAAAGCGAAAGAATGAAACCTTAGTAATACAACTTCCATTTGTATTAATGTGTATTCTGACCACGAACAGCATTTCTATGATCTTTCTAAAATCACCCACAAGCTACAGCAGAAAACCTGTTTAGAGCAGAAATACATATTTCTAGTTCAAGCATTTTATCACACGGTGTTCAGTGTGATTTAATAAAAAAAATTCAGTCTCCAGTCAATTTCACACAAGTGCATTTCAATTGTCTAATGTTTACATCTTGGTCATTCCAGATGTATGTACACATAGGCCCCATGGAGGTATTTAAACAAATTCACTCTTGCCTGGCATAAATAATAATTAGAAGCGATACAGCCTTTGAGTGACAGCAGGAGCAAATATGTAGCCTGGAATACTCCACAGGACTCAACTATGGCAGATTCACTAAGCAATGGCCACTTTAGTGAGGCACAGTTGGCTCAGACTTGTCCAGGAATGGAGTGGGTTTGGTCTGCTTGGGTTCCATTTAAACGCAAAACACACCATCTGGCAAGACAGATTATCTCACTAGATGACTGGAGCGACATGCCTGGAAGTGTGTGTGTGTTTGATGTGTTCCTATAATAAAAGACAAGCATCAGTAAAGAATAAGCAGCAGAA